CGAATCAACCGAAAAAATGACGCTCTGACATATCGTTGTACTACTGTACGTAGTATAATGTATAAACTGGGCCGTCGAATTTTTACTGTTTTCTGACAGCAACTAGATTCAACTGCAACTGTCGAATTTTTACCTACATGATATTCTAGCAATATTATTGTCAAATCCGTTCGGAAACTGGAGCCGCCAGAATCGAATGTCCTCGTCGTAGAATGCAGCTTATTCGTCTCTTAGGGATTTCAATTCTGAAAAGTTCTGCATGAAGCCGAAAGGATGGGCATTCTTCTGATTATGTAATCGGCTTGAATTGACTTCATCTTATTTATTTGATTTCCACTCATGTCAAGGCAAAATCGATGGGACGATTTTTACCGGTAAGCACGGTTTAACAAACACCAACATTTGACGCATTTACCATTTGCCGGCCCTGTACAATAGACACTGGACTAATGTAGAATGCCAATTGTTGCAATACGATTTTTGTGTTTTTTCAGAGAATGGCCATAATTCCTGATTGGGGCACCCTTTTTGAATCCTGAAGTGCCCTAAATTGAAGACAGTTTTCAAGGCAATCCACCAATTATCAACGTGCAATGAATTTCGCACAATTGAGCTCATCATACCGGTACATATATGTTATACCTCTATAAAGTGGTGTGCCTATTGATTACTATTCTTTCAACGTTTGGTGTTCTACGGCTACGAGTATACATTCAGAGGTTTGCTCTGTGATTGGTGATCAGTGATTGGCTTAGTTTTATACGTCATTAATTGGCACATACTATCCGTGTCGTTTTATATTGTACATTTGATGAAATTTGACCTATCATGGTGACCTCTGTGCCAAATCGCGAATTTCGATTGGCTGCCGACCTGCGGTAATTTTAATAAAGCGATTCGTTCATAAATGACGGAATAACAACCACTGAAAGTAGTCGCACCCACCGTGGTCTGATCAGCAGAAGTTTCCGCCAATTAAATGGATGTAGCGTGCCATATTCAGCGTTTGATTGGTAGATATCCACCAATGATATCGATGCATTTAGACGAGACCCCTGGTTATGCTTTGATTGGCTGAATATATTTGTTACGTGGCTCTCATTGGCCAAACCAAACGTACATTATATTAAAACACACCCATATGTGACAAATATGTACACTATAAAAAGACATGCCATTAATTGGTATTTTACGTTACGAAGAAAACAAATGGTCAGCCATATGGCCTCGTACCTGTCGTGTGTGTCAAGACCGTGTCACTTCAAGGTTGTGAGTACTACTGGCGTGGGTTATTATTAAGGGCTCCTTAAAATTACATGTATTGACTAAACCGTTTTGGCAAGTCTATAAAAAGTTCCCAAAGTCTCATATCAAGGAGAAAAAAAGTATCTACAAAGTTGTCTGGATGCCAGCTGAATCATGGAAAAATTATTCGATTTGAAGTACAAGACTTCAACTTATACCTCCATAAACAAGTTGGACCAAATCGGTCGTCCATTTTATTTATGCCATAAAACACCCCATATTCTCAAGAAAATGGTGGCAGCATAAATGTTTGAAATTTGTACAATTGATTGACTGCTCGTATGTCGTTCATTTGACTCTCGGCACTGAATCTCAAATATCGAATCTGAGGGGTTGTACAGAAGTACCAGTAGTAGTACTGTAGAGTAAACGGTGATCATGCCGGAGGATTCCCGTCTGTCCTTTCTGCATCGAGAAAGAACATCCAGCCAGCCACATGTTGTCCTTGTACGATATGTCTCAGACGTACCACAGATTGAACACTCGCCATGTCAACAGCAAAAAGTCGAGTTTTGTGCTTCGTTGGAGTGGGATTTCTCGCCAAACCCAGTTGAAACCCGTCATTTTAACGATCGTGACGTTCGTTGCATTGGAAACTGAACGGGAAGTCGCGGCCCGAGACTTGATCCTAGGCGAGCGACTGTTCCACATCGCCTCACATGTGTTTCGAAGTACTAGTATCTATTGCGGTTCTCACCAGATATTTTTACTTGGCTCGCTCGAGAACACCCCGAGGAGTATGTAGGCTCATTCTTGATTTGCTCTCCCCTGGAAACAATGGCAGCATACGATGTCGTTGAGACCCCCTCGGCGGTGACATCGCACCTCGACACCACCGCCCCCGAACCTCCCGTGAAGCGCAATCGTTTCAAGGAATTCTACTTTGGCATTCCTGGTATTCTCACTGGCGCTGCCATTGGTATCGCCCTTGGCATACTCATTCAAACCATGACACCCAGCGAGGAAGTCGTGTCTTGGATTGGGGTTCCGGGCTCCCTCTTCATTCGCGCGATCAAGTGTTTGGTCACCCCGCTGGTGTTCTGCAGCTTGCTTGTAGGCATGGCGGACATGTTGGCTGTGGGCAAGGCGTCCGTCATTGGGTGGCGCACGGCTTTGCTGTACATCACGACCACTATCGTTGGAGCATGCCAGGGGCTCTTGTGGGTGGTGCTCTTCCGTTCTAGCTTTGGCAACAAGTCCAAGAGTACTGACGCCAACCCCACCGAGTTTGCGTTTGGATGCGAAGAACCCGGCTATTTCCTCACACATGTCGGTGCCACCGTCTCGTGCGTGTACGACGAAAACTACAACAAGACCAGCAAGTTTTCCCCGTCGTCTGTGTTTGTCGCCAACGACATCCACGGCAGTTTTGCCAAGGCCAGCTCTGGTTTTGCTCGCCGCACGCTCACACAGGCATTGCAAGGACAACTCAATGCGATCGTACCGTCCAACATTACGCAAGCGTTCGCAGACGCCACGTTGCTGTCCATCATCATGTTTGCCATCCCGTTTGGCGTGGCCATTTCGCTCTTGCCCCGAGACTTGACGGTGGTATCCGATTTCTTCCGAGCCATCAACATGGTGTTCATGACGATGATCACGTGGGTGATTTCTTCCACCCCCATCGCCATCATTTCCCTCTTGGCGTCGTCGATCTCTGAACAATCCGACTTGAAGCTGCTCGTCTCGGACGTCGGTCTGTACGTGCTCTGCGCGCTCCTAAGTCTGTTCGTCCATACCTACGTCTTCTACCCTGTCTTGCTTCGGTCGTTTGTCAAGATCAACCCGTACAAGTGGATCATGAAGATGGCCCGCGCGCAAACGTTTGCGTTTGGCTGTGCATCGTCCATGGCCACGCTTCCTGTCGTGATGGAATGCATTGACGAGACCCGCGAAGTGTCCCAAACCCTGTCTCGTTTTGTCTTGTCCCTTGGTGCCACCATTGGCATGGACGGAGCTGCCCTCGTCTACCCCATTGCCATTGTGTTCATGGCGGAAGCCGAAGGCATTGGCCACATTATTGGCGGCATTGAGTACTTCTTGATCGGTCTCGTATCGACCATCGGTGCTGTGGGCTCTGGTCCTGTGCCTGCTGCCGGCATCGTGATGACCATGACGATCTGGGCCAGTGTCTTCCCCAGCGTGCCCCTGCCTTCGACCTTCGCGTTCATCGTCGCCACAGACTGGTTCTTGGACCGGTTCCAAACTGCTGTCAACGTCACGTGCGACACGATCGTGTGTCGCATTGTTGCCGAACAAGTCGGGGAAACCATCAACGAAGACGACCGCCTTAGCCTGGTGTCTGGTGCCGGGGACTTGGCCAGCCACAACCCCAAGATCAAGAAAGCCCTTGAATCGTCCGACGGTCGCGACTAGGTCGCAGCTTTGGTTGTACCTCATGTGTTTGATATATTAACATCAGTATTTGTCATGAAACACGCCGCTGCGCTAGTGTGCTGGCAAGAATTCGGAATGGCGCTTCGCGCATGAAATATCACTTAAAAGTCCTCGAAACAAAGCAAGCGTATTTACCTCCGCTACGCTGCGAAAGGTGCACTAAGATATACTACGTAGTAGTACTAGTACTGTACCCAGAAATTAAACCTCCAGCCCAAGCGGGGCGAAAGTTCGGGCTGTGGCCTAGTTCTTACAAGTACGAAGTAAATCGTTGGTGAATTCCATGCCCCGTATACAGTGAGTGCATGCATTATTGTCGATTTTCTTCAAATTTCCCAATTATGCATGATTCGTTCAATCGACCACAAATAGAGCTGAGACATCTGATTGGCCATTATCCACTTCGCCCTTTCCAGTAGAAACTCGAAAATGGATTGTAGCCAATCAGCAACAAGTAATTTTGGATTGGCCAATAGGAGAGATTGGTGCTCGATTCGCTCGGCGAGATTTGATTGAACGGGGTCCGGAAATTCATACCGAATCTCCAATATATGGTGGGGCACATTTACGTTGACTGTAGCCTCGCTCAGTGCCCACTTGAACGCATTTCAATTGTCCTTCAACCTGTACAACGTAATCAATCATTATATTGGATTATGAAGGCTTTTGGTATTGAGGAGGTGTAACTTACTCCCGAATTCTAATTCGCTCCAGTAAAGTGGAATAGACGAAGTTATTACTACCTCCGATTAGAAATGATTGATAGGATTCACTTTTTGGGCTTTGAACAATTGTATCTCACAGTAAGTCAAAATAGGTTATTGCCTTGACAATAGGTATACTTCCATGTAGAGAATTTCACTAGAAATCCGATTTTACTGCTTAGAGAGTCCTAATTAGAGTATCTTAGAAGTTATGGTCAAAATCAATCAGGAATGATGCTCAATTTTCACTGTCTCCTTATCTGGTTATAGAGGTTTACGTGATACAGCAAACCTGTATAATATAATAACTATTGTACTCAAGCGCACAGGTTTGAAATACCAGAGTCAGTGCTGTGACCTTCCGCACAGGACGAGTGCAATTCTTAAATTAAGCGTAACGTTAGCTTCGTCGCGCATATTATTAATGACATTCATGTTGGTACTATTATTGGCAACCCTAGATCCCTGATCATTGCGGTGGAACTTGGACACAACTTGATTCCCCCGCGTGCATGATGCTGTCCAAGTGGAGTTCAGGTGTTTAGAGCAGCTATTGCCCCTTTCCCCATGTTAATCACACAGTCTAAACGCCAGTTGGTCGCACAAATAACCTTGTGTTGGATTTCATTTTGGTAGTTATACCATGCTAACGTTACTAGTGTGCTGCTACTTTGAAGTATTATAAATCAGCAACAGGTCCTTGAACGTCGTCGTCGTCGTCGTCGCTGGTGTAATGATGGCAAGAGGCGGGAATGGTCCAGCTCGTGGGGTTAACAACCGACTTGAGTGCTTCAGGAATAGGAATCGAGCCAATATTGTCGTTCACTTGGGCTTCAATGTCATGGACTGTCACCAGGTACTTGTCGAGCGGCCCTAAGTTGGGTCTATTTGGAAACCACCACGCGATGACTTTATCTGTGCCCGAGTCTGTGGCCACGACCACCTTCCACCAGTAGTCGGGGGTCTGGATGCCCCACCCATCGACGAAAATGTCGTTGTCCGACTCGTTGTACTTGACGCCGCCCCATGTGCGAATGCCGCCTGGCAACGTGCGATAGCAAGCCTCAATCGCTTCCGTCTTCTCCCACTGGCCTTTGTTGAACGACGAGATTTGCGGCGTGATGTTGGTCATGTAGTGGGCTTGGTGTCTGGCCTCAACGCTGTTCGCCATGTGCTCGCTGGCAACCAAGTGGCCGCGATCATACCCTGACTTGGAACCGTACGCCTTGGTGGACAGTTTCTGGCAGTGGCGGTCGTACGATGGATCAAAGTAGAAACCTTTTGGACGGGGCGCCACGTGCACATTTGGGCCTAACGTGTACTCCCACCGAAGGGCCGACCGTTCTCCGCAGGCGTAATCAAGGTCAAAGCCAATGTACTGCAGCTTGTCGTAGGTTGGAAGCACATTCGTCGAGTCAGTGGATGTAGTGGCGCTGCATGTGACGACGGCGGCAGCGATGGTACAGGCCAGTAACGACGTCGGCATGGTTGTGTTGGCTGGAAATCTCAAAATGTGTCGAAAGATCATGATCACATTGAAACTACCCTTATCCGGATACGAAACAGTTACAAATAACTGCCCAGTATTGTCAGTCAAATTAAAGTATTTTTCAATTCTGTTGAGGAACGGTATCATTCGATTGCCGTGTTGAATTGACTCTAAAAAGCAATTTTGGTGTGAGATACAATACAAAACAACTCGGAATGATAGTCAATTCCAACCTTGTTTACCGATATCCTCTAATAAATGGTAAGCAATTGTTGAATTGGCATAAATTATATTTTTCGAAAAACCTTTATAATATGATACAAACAAGGAAAAGTAGGCACTGCTGACGACCACTGTTAACTCCAGAGTTCTATTACTATAATATTAATTACAACCAGTAATACGTATAGTAGTACTACACAGAAAATACTAAGGGCCAGTCTGGATGCCACCCACCAATATTATGGGATATTGGAATATTGAATAAAAAACATTTTTCGACATTGCAGGAAATTCTTGGGTTTCAAGATCCAAGAATGATTTTAGGTGGTGTGTCTGGATGCCATAGAATAAAAGAAAGTTCGGAAATGAACAGCCAATCAGAGGATAGTTCAGACGTCCACATCTGAAACCGTCTCTGTCATTTGGCGCGCAACTCCGAACGCAAGATGGACGACGGAAGGGCCAGTTGGGACGACGAGAAAGACTTCACCTGGATGAAGGAAATGATTCACCAGGTGCATGTGCTGGGCAAGTGAGCCAACAGTGGCTTCAAGCGAGAAGCTTGGCATGCCGCAACAACGAAACTCAACTCCGACCACGCTGTCATCTACACGAAAGAACAAGGCAAGTCGAGAAGCGCCGAGATGAAGAAGCAATACGCGCAGGTTTCACAGATTATGAAGACGTCTGGTATTGGGTTCGAGGCGGCAACGTGCCG